AAAAAAATATTTTCTCTAATTCTGTGGGTTGTCTTTTCATTTTTTTTGTTTTAATTGGGGAATTGGGGGAGGGGAACAGCCAAGTTGTTGTCCTTCAATCTTAGTTGTGGAGGGTGCAGCAAGCTCAGCTCCAAGTCCAGTCACCATCTGGCTGCCCATAGGCAGCTCGCGGCCGCTCAGCTCAAGGTGCTGTGTTCAATCTTAGTTGCGGGTGGGCGTGGCCACCATTCTATGCGGGAGTCGAACTGGCAGCCTTGTTGTTAAGAGCGCTTGCTCTATCCCCTGAGCCACCCTGGCAGCAGCTCAGCTCAAAGTGCCGAGTTCAGTCCTTAGTTGCAGGTGGGCATAGCCCACCATCCACGCATGCAGGAGTCGAACCAGCAACCTTGTTGTTAGGAGCATGTGCTCTCACCAGCTGAACCATCCTGCCACCTTTTGGCAGCTCAGCAGCAGCTCAGTGGCAGCTCAGCTCAGGCACAGCTCACTGGACCATGTGGGAATTGAACCAGCAACCCTGTTGCTCAGAGCTCACACTCTTGGGTAAGCTCTTAACCAACTGAGCCTCTTGGTCGGCCCCTTGGCTTTATTTTCTTAAAAGCACTTAACTCTCATGCCGGCTGAATGGCGCGTTGGTTAGGAGTTGGCTTGGGATGTCAGCTCTGAGCAGCAGGGCCCTGGTTTGGGTCCCACATGAGGGCCAGTGATGCTGCACCCTCTATGGCTAAGATGGTGACCAACAGCTCGACCTGGAGATGGGATGCCGTGAGTTGCCAGCGATGGCATGGGCTGCAGTGGGGCTGCCTGGCAGCGGGCGTGAGCTTTCGTGAGCTGCCTTTAGCCACCGTGGGGGGTTGTCCAATGGCCGTGGAGTGACTGCCTCAACCGAGAACAGCGCATGATAATTACCAACATGGGCCAGTGAAGCGACGTCCTCCACAACTAGACTGAGGAACAAAAGGACAGCAGCTTGTCTGTTCCCCTCCCCCAATTCCCCAATAAAATCTTTAAAAACAAACCAAAAAAAGCACTTAACTCTCTCTGAAATTCTATTATTTATTTATTATCTGTCTCCACCACTAGAAAGCCAGCTTCATGAGTGCATGTCCTGTTCATGGTTATATCTGCAGAACTCAAAACAGAGCTTGCACACAGCGGGTTCTCAATATCTTCTGAATGAATGAATAAGGTACTTTGACCTAAGGGTATACAGATCCTGCCCTGTAATTGCCGTCTGGGCCAGCCCTGGGCAGTCAGCTGGGGTCCTCCTAGAGCTGAGACTGGCTCTCCTGGAGAGAGGGGCTATTCAGGGAAGGTGCTCAGAATGCTCGGATTGGATCCACCTGAGAGGAACAGCATCCGAGGGCCTCTGCTCTATTGCCTACTGCTGTGCGACAGGTTTTCCCCAAACCTAGTAGCTTAAAACAATTGTACTGTGTTTCATGGTTTTGTGGTCAGGAATTCAAGCAGGCACTGCTCAGCTGGGTGATTCTTCTGCCCCACGTGGTATTGACTGAGGTCCACTTGATGGTATTCTGCTGCCTGACAGGCTTGTCTTCAGGGCCCAGGAGAGCTTCCCTCACAGGTCTGGTGGCCTAGGAGGCTGTGCTCAGTGGGGACCGTCTACTGGAGTGCCTGTACCTGGTCCCTCCAGCGTAGTAGCCTCAGGGGTTGTCAGGCTTCTACACAGCATCCTGGGGCTCCCAGAGACTGTTTCAGAAAACCAGGGCAGACGTGGCCTGACTGTTCTTGGCCTTGGAAGTCATGTAGCATCATTTCTATTATCTCCTATTGGCAACAAGCAAGACACAAGACCAGCCCGGATTCAACAGAAAGGGACAGGAACCACACAGGGGCATGAATATCATTGGGGTGGGGGTGGGGCATCTTTAGGGACAAACCACTATGCCTCCCTCTGTGCAGGGCTAAGGAATGGAGCCTGAAGCTAAGGATGCTGGGTCAGCTGGGAGAAGCCCACAAGCCTCACATCTGTGACTGGATTTCCATGGAAAAAGGATCAAGGGAACATTGACCCCAAAAAGTTCCAACCATTTGAACCTCCAGCTGATTTCATATTCTATTTCAATACTTTGTCCAAGGCAACTGCTCAAAAAAGATACCATGTTCCAAGCATCAACCGCATATTATATTCTTACATGTTTATTGTTTCATCCAAATCTGTGATTGTACTTCTTTTTTTGAGTCCTGAAGACCCAGCAAAGGGACGAGGGTTCTCTCCTGGCACCGTTGCCCAGGCTCCTTCAACCTTCAACCCCCTCAGCCATCCGAACATGCCAATCCCTGAAAAACCAGGCCTGAGAATTCAACAATGGCTGGTTATTCCGGAAACACTTACAGTTACACTTCAGGTGAGAGCAGTGCCGTTCCCAAAGTGTCCCCGGTTGCTCCAACACCATGCAGAGTGGGTCTCAGGCACAATCCAAGGGAAGAGGCTTGGTGGAGGGAATGGGACACTCTGAGAAGGCAGCTGGGGCTCGGGCTGCAGACCCAACCCTTTGGGGAAAAGAGGTAACAAGGCCTCTAGGGAGAAAGTCACAGATGACCTCACAGATGTCAGGACTCCACATGGAAGCACTGCTTGGAGAACTGACAACACCCTGTAAAGTGTTGGGGGCTCCATTTCTCCTTCTCAACAGAACTCTCTAAAGTGAAGTTGAAAAGAACAGACATAGTCTAAAAGAGCTGGGATCAAGTCCTAGCCGGGCCACCCTGGAAAAGTTACTGAAACTCTCTGAAAATCCTTGGTAAAATAGGGAAGAATGTTGTCTGCCCCACCATTGAGAAAAATAAATGACAAGATGCATCAAAAGTACCTAGCACAAGGGCCGGCTGGGTGGCTCAGTTGGTTAAGAGCTCGCTCAAGAGTGTGAGCTCTG